GTCTCATGCCCCTCTGCCCCCCAGGAAGGAGCCGTCCCTCCTGTCGCCCTTGCATTGCTGGGCCGTGTTGCTGCAGCACACACGGCAGCAGAGCCGGGAGAGTGCGGCCCTCAGCGAGGTGCTGGCAGGGCCCCTGGCCCAGCGCCTGGGTCACATCGCGGAGGATGTGGGGCGCATCGTCCGGAAGGTGAGGCCGTTGCCCTGGGTGCGGGAGGTGCTGGAGGCGCCGGGCTGGGAGGGCATGGGAGGCCCGGTGGGGACCCGGCAGAGGCGGCCTGTGTGCCCCGAGACGGAGCTTGAACTGAGTGGAGCCGCACGTGCCCAGCAGAGGCATGGTGGGCCAGCTGTGCTCACACTTCCCGACCCCCTCCAGAGCAGGGATCTGGAACAGCGGCTGCAGGATGAGCTTCTGGAGGTGGTCTCAGAGCTCCAGACGGTGAGAACTTGGAGAGAAGCCCACCCCATGGCCCAGGGCGAATCGCCCATCGGGAGGCAAGCCCGCATCTCCCCAGGCCAGGCTCACGGAAGGTCAAGCGCCCAGGGGAGGCCTGGGTGTGGGGACTGGGCGCGAGGCCCCCTCTCTCTAAGTAAGCCCCAGCATCCCACTCTGGGCACAGCTGGTTAGGCTAAGTGCTCGTGTGGGACTGCCCGGCTCTCAGTCCGAGTCCCAGATGGGCGGGAGCGGGGGCTGGCCGTGGCATGGCCTTCAGCAAGGCTGCCTTGCCTTGGGCCTCTCTGCAGGCCAAGAAGACATACCACCTGTACCACATGGAGAGCGTGAATGCCGAGGCCAAGCTCCGGGAAGCCGAGCGGCAGGAGGAGAAGCGGGCGGGCCGGAGTGTCCCTCCACCCGCTGCCGCCACCAGTGAGGCAGGGCCCCTCCGCAAGAGCTCCCTCAAGAAGGGAGGGCGGCTGGTGGAGAAGGTAGGCCTGGAGGCCACCTGGACTGTCTTTCCATTGTCTGTGAAGGCTCTGGCTCCTGGCCTTTGTCCCTGTGGGTCCCCAGGCCTCGTTGGGGCCTGCCGTGTGCAGGGGGAAGCCAGGAGTAGGAGGAGGCTACTGGCCTCCAGCAAGACTCTCCCCATCAGTAAGGGGAGGGCCTTGGGCTGGTCAGATTTGCTGGCTCTGGAGAGTTCCTCAAGCCAGGAGTGGTAGTGGCAGCACAGTGCCATTGGGTCACAGGGCCTGAGACACAGAGCGGGGAGGAGAGCAGTCCCTGGGCCCGGGACAGCCTCGTGCAGTTCCCCCCACACTCCAAGCTGGCCCCGCCAACTGCCTTGTGGGGTTTAGAGGGGTGATAAGGCACTTAGGATGGGGGATCCGGTGATGTGCAAGGAGAAAGGGCATTCACAGTGGCCCTGAAGAGCTGGGTAGGGCTTAGGGTGGCGCTCTGGGCCCACCTGGTCTGACTCTTGGGGCAGCAGGAATCGGGCATCTTTGAATGTCCTTGGGGGAGTGGCAGAGTTAGGCTGCTTAGGGAAGGTCCCCTAGGCCACTGTACTTAGAAGGCCTTCCAGTGCTTCCCTGCAGCCTGCTTTCAACCCAGATGCCAGCAGACTGTGTCATGTGGCCCTCCACAAGCCGTCCCTTCCCCTTGGACCACCCCTTCCACCCCAGCCCGGTGCTCCAGGAGGCTTGTGGCTGTCCCACCCTTGCTGCCTCTGTGTGCCTTCCCTGTGCAGTCGCCCTGCGGGATCCCAGCATATCCCCAGCATGGCCCCCCACCTCTGTTGTGGGGTGCATATGTTCCTTTTACCTAGCAGACATCCAGTTCTGTGCCCCCCACTTCTATGAGGAGTGACAGCGGGGGCTGTTGGGGACTTGAACCAAGGCAAGAGGCAGGTGTGCAGAGGGTGGGACAGCCAGCCGGGGAACCAGAGGTGGCAGGAGTCAAGAACCAGGGAGTCGAGTCCAGCTCCAGGGCCCTGCTGGGTTCCCTGCAGGCAGCGTGCCGAGCCTCGAGACGGCAGGGTGGAGTAGGGGAGATGCGGGACTTCCGGGCTACAGTGAGTTTGAGCGACCAGAGGGACATGGGGTGTAGTTGCACCCAGGGGGAGCGGTGCAGTGGGCATTACATGGAGGCCGGAGGTGGGGGCGGGCCAGCCATGTGTGTGACCCTGGCGCCCGCGTTGTCTTGAGTAGCGTCAGGCCAAGTTCCTGGAGCACAAGCTCAAGTGCACGAAAGCCCGCAACGAGTACCTGCTCAGCCTGGCCAGTGTCAACGCCGCTGTCAGCAACTACTACTTGCACGATGTCTTGGACCTCATGGACGTGAGTCCTTGGTGGACGGTGGGGAGTGCAGCGCACCAGGCCTCCAGGCCACAGCTCCGGGGCCCACTGTCTCCTTGCTTCCTCCGCAGTGCTGTGACACCGGGTTCCACTTGGCCCTGGGCCAGGCGCTCCGGAGCTACATGGCCGCTGAGAACCGCACCCAGGCCTCCCAAGTGCAGGGCCTGGGCAGCCTGGAAGAAGCTCTGGAAGCCCTGGATCCTCCAAGTGACAAGGCCAAGGTGCTCGAGGTGCACGCTACGGCCTTCTGCCCCCCACTGCGCTTTGACTACCAGCCCCACGAGGGGGATGAGGTGAGGGTCGCTCCCCGCTGCCCATCATGCCCACACGTGCTTCCGGAGGGCTCTGTGTTCTCTGGTCTTCATGGTAATGGTAGATCAGATCCATGATTTACCTTTTGCTCGGGAATCAAAACTCCCCATGGCCCCGGCAGACACAGCTCACTAGAGAAGTGTCCCCACTTCCGTTCGCCTGCACTGACTAGGGTGGCCAATATATAGACCATTGGCACCACGCATCCATAGACTGTTCTTGAATGAGCAGCTTTTTCCTCCAACAGTCTGTTCTGACGGGCGTCGAGTATGGACTGGGATTGCACGGGACACGTCTAGGGCTCATTTGGCACTTCATTTATCCTGCATTTTGACCAGAGTGGCTTAAAACGTCCAGCATCACCCAGGGCGTGTGATGGCACACAGCCTTTCCCTAAGCCACGCTTGCTGTTCCCAAGTCCCACCCCCCAGAAACAGCCACCTCCCGGTCTCTTGGCTGCTGCTTCTGGTCCGCCCTCCGAGCGGTCAAATGACAAGGAGGCTGGGGATGCCGTTTTCCACGGGCTCTGCTGACTACCTCCCATGGCTGAGTGGGACCCGGTGCCACCGCAGTCCCCCATGTTCACCACACGCTTCCCTGTAGCTTGTTCTCCTGATGGATTGATCCTAGATTGGGGGCTAAATTAGCATTCAGTGTCTAAACTGTGATGGCAACACGTACCGTTCACGGAGCCACGGAGCGTTGGGGCTCCTCGTCCTTCCTTGGACAACTTTTGTTTTCCTCTGGAATGAACAACCACCTCGTGTGTTTGTCGCTGCCTCCTGCCCACACTTCCAGACAGACCTGCCGCAGTCCTCCCAGCGCTGCCCCCACACCAGGCACTCTGTGGGTCCCATCTTCCAGTGCCGTCCCCGGGAGTCCCCCAGTCTGGACTGCTTGCCTTCTAGGCCTTCTGCAAAGCTGCCGGCCAGGGCTCTCCTTTCCCATCGCCCCGAGAAATCCTGCTGTTCCTCTACCTTAGACCCTCTGTTTCCCGGAGCCCATGCCTGCATCTTTCTTGGTGGATGACCCTCGTTTGGGCAGTTGTCTTCCCTGGTGGTTTCCTGACTTTGGACTTCAGAAAATGTCTGTATTCTGTTCTTGCAATTGATTGGTGGTTTGACTGGGTGTGACGTTCAAGGCTGAGCATCATTTTCCCTTTAGGTTGTTGAAGCTTTCAGTGTTGCAGGTGAGAAGTCCAATGTCCTGAAATTCTCAGGGTCAATTTTCCCCTCCGCTTGTAAAATTGTATAATGATAAGCCTCGGGGCTCCTTTTCTCCTCATGGTGCTGGGCAGCCAGTGACCCCGGTGTGTCTGGAAAGTTGTGTCCTGAGATTTGGAGCTCGGGTTCGTCCTTGAATCGTTCCCCCACTTCCTTTCCTTTACTCTGTCGAGAACACTCAGTGTGGGCATGGGACCTCATGGGTTGATTCTCCAATCTCCTCTTCTTCCTGTTGCCTACCTCCAAACCTTCAGCTCTGCTTTCTTGGAGACTTCAATGCTCTCTTCCAACACTTTGTTGAATTAAAAACACATTTTCCTTTCATTTGTTTTTTGTTTCTAGGAGTTCTGTTCTCTCAACCCCCTTATTCTTGTTTCGTGGAGACACTATCTGTTCGAATCTTTCTGAAACATTCACTTTTCTCGATGTTTCCTTCTGTTTCTGCACTTGCTCTGTGTTCTTGCTTTGGCGTCTGTCTTCCACTTTAGAGCTTCTTGCAAATGTTGGGCACCTCTCGACCGTCCATTCGTTTTTTGTTTTTGTTTTTCTTGAGTTGGAGTCTTATTCAAGACTGTCGCCCAAGCTGGAGTGCAGTGGCATGCTCACGGCTACCGCAGCCTCGACCTGCAATCCTTTGCCGGGCAATCCATCCGCCTCAGCCTTCCAAGTAGCTGGAACCAGAGGTGTGTGCCACCACTCCCGGCTAATTTTTTGATTTATTGTAGAGACAACGTCTCGCCAAGTTGCCCAGGCTGGTCTTGAACCCTTGGACTCAGGCAATCCTCTTGCCTCTGCCTCCCAAAGTCCCAAAGTGCTGGGATTACAGGCATGAGCCACCGTGCCCGGCTCATCTTTAAGAGGAGCTTCATATTTAATAGGAGGTGCAGGCCGGGTGCAATAACTCACATCTTTAATTAAATCCCAGCACTTTGGGAGGCTGAGGTGGAAGGATCATTTGAGCCCAGGAATTCAAGACCAGCCTAGGCAACATAGTGAGATCTCATCTCTACCAAAAATAAAATAAAATAAAAGTGAAAAAATTAGGCCGGGCTCGGTGGCTCAGCCTGTAATCCCGCACTTTGGGAGGCCGAGGTGAGTGAATTGCCTGAGCCTGCGGGTTCAAGACCCGCCTGGGCAACTTGGTGAGACCTCATCTCTACAATAAACCAAAAAAATTAGCCGGGCGTGATAGCACGCG